GGCTAAGTTGGGTTTTCCCTCAACCCTAACCATAAGTCCTAAAACCCAAGCCCTAAATCCCAAAACCTAGAGCGCGAAGCCTAATTCCTAAATGACAGACCCTAAACCGCTCCCTGCTGGACATCATCAAGAAACTCGTGCTGGGGACCAGGGAAGTCCTTATAGTAAATTGGGGTTACATAGGGGATAGTGGGAAAGAACATGGAAACTACTATAGTAAATTGGGGTTATATAGGGGATAATGGAGAAGAAAATGGAAACTACTATAGTAAATTGGGGTTACATACGGGACAATGGAAAAGAAAATGGAAACTACTATTTATGGTCAAGGGTTTAGGGTTTACATACATGCATAGAGATATGGATTGCTCCCAAAATTATGATGTCCTTTTGGCTATTGGATTATTTTATGGCACCTCATATGTAGAGCTACCAAAATAGGACCCTAATTCAGGGAACTTCCATATGCATCTGTCGAGTTTAGGGCTAAGGGGTTAGCACAAGTAGATGGGCTGAGAGCAGCTGTATGCTTCGGAAATATGCAAGGCATTACGGGTTTAGGGTGTAGGACAGCTCAATGCGCGGTGCACATGGTCGTGAGGGGTTCTATAGGGATGTAACTGTACATAATCAAAGCCACTTACCATTTAGCCAGTTCCCAGGCCATCTACGCAAGTCCCATCAAGGGTCTTACACCTAAATCTCATGGACCCTAGACCCCAAACCCTAAATCCTAAACCCGAAACCCTCAATCCTGAATCCTAAACCCGTCAACCCTAAACGCACCTTAAAATTGTGCGGTTTTAGATCAGGTTTGCTGGTGTTAAAGGAGGAGTGAGAGGGAGTGGAACTTAATAATCCGTACATGACGCCGTCTGGTAATACAGTGGATACTAGACATCCTGTATGGCCCTACATGCCTTATACTCTCAGACCCACGGTATGATGGTATCCTAAGGCCTAGACACTTAACCGTAAACCCTAATACCTAAACCCTCAAGCCCATATAAACTTTCCATTACTTTGGGTACCCAAACTTCCTTTATTTGAGAAATTCAAATATTCAAAACCAGAATGACCTCCCCCAAACCCTGAGTAATGGTACTAAACCTATATTCAGTACCTAACTCCCCCTGAAGCTTCAGGTCTCGGGCTGCCCACCTCAAGGTGGGTTTAGGCTTTACGGTTTAGGTGTTATGTTAGGGTTTAGGTTTAGGCCTTAGGCAGGGTTTAGGGACGAAGGTTTAGGGATTAGGGTTCAATTAGGCCTTAGGGTTTAGGGTTTAGGGTTGAGGGCTCACATGTCACCCCGCCTGGAAGAATCGCCTCTTCAGTATCCGGGATCTGCTTCGATGGGCTGGGAATTAGCTGAGCGATGCTCTCTTCCCCAATGACCAGGGCTAAAAACGTTTAAGCTGTATTATAGAGACCCAAAAAAGAAGCCCAACAACTTCAAAATTCTTCTATTGGTTAAGTAAGGATTAGTAACTATAGTTTAAGGTTTACTTCAGGAAATAGGGTTGCTAATTCCCAACCCAACTAATTAAGACCCTAAACCCTAAATCC